GTCTTTTGAATTGTTAATGTAATTCTTTAGTATTACCAATTTTGTTTTTTTCATGTCCCAGGTTTTTTTTTTTTTTAAAGATTTATTTATTTATGTATATAGAACTGGGCTACAGGCCAGAGGAGGGGGTGGTGGTGAGAGGATTCTCCATAGACAGAGTGGAGAGTGGAGCACAGAACAGGCAGATCTACTGAAATACACTGCTGAGGGGAGTAGTGGGTGGGTCAGGAAAGGTCTGCCATGCCATGTGGGTCAGCTCCTTGGCAGGGGATTGAACTCATGTTGCAGTGGCTGCGATAGCTTCATAGTGCTGTGCTTTAACCTGTTGCACCACCAGGAAGAGCCCTCATCTTCCAGTTTTTTGGCTGTATTAATAGTACGTCAGTATCTCAGATTCCAAACTCTTGTTTTTCCTTATCCTACCAGTTTCTACATCAGCCCACTTTCCTCTCTAAATCCTATCCCATCTCAACCATGCTTTGTAGCTTCAGGAAGAATCTCATGTTGGGCCCATGAAGCTTACCGTTGTCACCTCTTCCCATTTCTTCGATCTCATTTTCTTTCCTTTCTTGCAACTCTCTTAAATAGAATCAAAAGTGCTCCCCACCAGCTGTGGCAAGGAGGCTGAGTGGATTCAGAAATGACTTAAAGAGCAGGTTGTCTAGTGTGGGAGGTAGCTAGATTCATAAATAATTAAAATAAGGTCTGTGATATCATAAGTGAGATGAACCTGAGGGACTAAAACTAGAGTAGTGTGAGCAGAAGGGGGTAAGGAGCACTGCAGGGAAGCTTTGCCCTTTAGTAGATAGTTATGACAAAACTGAGTTTCATGACCTTGCTTCCTCCTTTGTATTGCTGGACTGTGTCCAGTCTGATTCACTTTGGCTAGAATTATCATTGGCTTGCTTCTATTTTACCAGAAAGTTCCTGAGCTGACTTTTTGGGCATATCTGTCTACCATTTTCTAAATCTTGCCAGACTCTTGATGCCGTATGTCCCATTTCTAGGTTTCACATGTGGGTCGTTTTCTTTTTCTTGCCTTCCCACAGTCTTTGCACAGAATGTAGCTGGGAAAATTTAGTTCTGTTTTGGGGGATGCTGTGTGCATTTTCACTGGGTATCTGGGAGAAGGTTAGAAATTAGGAAGTAAGTGATAGAATAGGAAGAGGCATTGTCAAGTTGGACACCTTGCTTTACCCCGTAAAGTCTATATGTCTCCCAAATGGACCCAGTTCTGGTGTAGTTGTTTTTATAGAGTCACTAACCTCATTGGTTAAGACAGAAAAGAACCACCAACAGTGGTAATAACTGACTGCTTTCTGACTTGTTTTTCCTTGGGCACTTTCACAGGAGACAGAGACAAGAAAAAAGGGAGGCTGGTTATTAGGGTGATGTTTGTTGTTTAAATATCTTGCCTCTAGTGAGCATGAGCACTTTAGCCTCCTTCTGCTATAAGTGTTGTATCATCTAGTTCTTAGAAATATATCTTCTGACACATTCCTCACTCATTACTATTTCTAAAATATGTAGGGAAACCTGAGCTGGGGCTTGCTATCTACACACAGGCACTTCTTTCTAGATTTAGTTGAACATGTTTAGAGCAGGTCAGTTATGCCTCTACAGATTCACTGTGACCCATTTTGGTGTTTTGTGCTTTTGTCAGTTAGATAGTAGATTGTGACTATAAATCTCAAATATTTCAAATTTTTCTGAAGCCAGAGAAAGTTACCAAATATTGGCTTCTAAAGTGAACTGTAAAGTGGGAGCAGTTGGTACACAGAGATGCTTATTGAATGAGTAATATTTTAGTAATGTGTACAGATATTCCTCAGGAACAGGGGTAAAAGTTATAGAACAAATGTCAGTAGCATTTAGCATATAATATTGTGCTCACTTCTCAAGGAAAATACACTTTATTTCAACTTATATTTATGTTAGTTAATGCTTTTTGCCAAGTATCTGTGTGTGTAAGCCCTTGACATAAACTAGATCAGTAGTGCTGTCATTACCATATTTCACATTCCTGAAATAAAGACAAAAGCCAATGGTAGAACTGGGATTGAACCTATATCCTAGTTCAGTACTGTTTCTTGTGCATATTGCTCAGATAAAAAGTTTGCATGAGGCCCTCCCTGGTGGCGCAGCGGGTTAAAGCACAGCACTGAGAATCTAAAGCCGCTTCCGCATGAGTTCGATTCCCGCCTGCCCCGGAGGTGACCACATGGCGTGGCAGACCTCTCCTGACCCGCCCGCTGCTCCCCTCAGCAGTGTACTTCGTCGATCTGCCTGTTCTGCTCCCCACTCTGTCTCTGGTGAATCCTCTCACCCTCCGCATCTCTGGCCTGTACCCCAGTTCTGTATGAATAAATAAATAAATCTTTAAAAAAAAAAAAAAGTTTGCATGAATCTATGAAAACAAGAGAAAAATAAAGCAATGAGTGAGTTCTTTTATTCACACAACTTTTATTCAGTTTAAGGGGATGTCTTTTATTCTGAGATTCTTTTTAACAAATACTAAGATTTAACTATGTATGAGGAGCACAGAGATTGTATATATAATATTAAACAAGACAGGCACGAAGTGTATGTTCTGATGAAGACAGATAACAAATAAATAAACAACAGAATAACAAAAAGTTAAGTTCTGGTAGTACTCTGAATGCAATAGAGAAAGGCTGTTAGTGGTGATACATTCATGTGTGATGTGAAGATGGGTATCAAAGTGTAGTGTACATGTTTTAAGTGGCATTTTTGTGAGGATTCCAAGTAATCAAAAAAACCTCTGATGTAGTGTTTGAAGGATACATTCAGATTAGTATACTTTGTTCTTTTTCTTCATAATTACACCTTAAGTCCAAAATTGGCTTAAGAAAGTACTGAGTTGAAGCTAAACAAATTGTTGCTTCAGGACCCACTGATGATTACTATGCCTCTTTCATGATAATGAAACAAACTTATTTCTGGCCATATCTGTCATTTTGCCATGTTCACTCATCTTTATAAAATTATGAAGGCAGAATACTAAACACTGGTACCATTTTTTAAAAATTAGCAATAGAATTCTTTCCTCAAAGAAAATTATAGGTTTCCAACATGTAAAACAGCTGTGGCTCTAAGCCATAGTCTTATTTCTTGTTCTACATACCATAATGGCCCCTAAGGGATATCTAAAGAATCACTGAAACTTTGAAAAGTATAGGGTGACCACCACAATAAAAATTTCAAATTGTAAGCCCTGCTGTAAAGAGAGCTGTACTTATGAAACTGTCATAGCTACTATACCACAGCTGCAAATTCTGTGAAAGTCCATGTTAAGTGAAAAAATAATTATTGTATATAATTTTACCTAAAGTTACATTTTCAGGTAGCATTTACCATATAAAACAAAGGCAAACTTTAACTAGTGGTTTCTTCAGAACATCCTTCCTTCCCATCCCAGTTTTATTGAGCTATAATTGGCATACAGTATTATATATGTTTAAGGATATACAGCATAATGATTTTATATACATTGTGAGATATATTTGGGTTAAAATCTTTTCATCTATTAATTCAAAATTAAGTTTCATATTAATCAACATTTTTCCTAATGTTTAGTTATAAATAAGTCCATGTTTTGTTTTATTTATCATTATAAAGTAGTTAATTTGCTAGCTTTTTTTCCTTTTTTTTTATCTTCTAGTTTGCCAGGGTTTGGATACCTGATCCAGAGGAAGTTTGGAAATCAGCAGAACTGCTCAAAGATTATAAGCCAGGAGATAAAGTCCTCCTGCTTCACCTTGAGGAAGGGAAGGTAAGAATTTTAAAAATGGATCTGTCATATAAATCAGCAATTCCACTTTTAGGTATCTACTCAAAGAACACACTAACGTTTTCAAAAGGAAGCTTATATCTCTGTGCTTATTGTAGCACTGCTTATAATAGCTAAGTTAAGGTAACAACCTGAGTACTCAACAACAGATGAATGGATCAAGATGTGTGTTTTTTGATCTACTCAGAGATCAAAAAAGATAAACTCATGCTATTTGTGGAAACGTAGATGGGGCTGGATGAATTATGCTCAGTGAAATAAGCCAGAAGGAGGAAGATAAGTTTGGGACTTGCTTAGGGTTTTGTAGGTACTGAGCAATAAAGTTGGGATATAAGTTCAGGAATTTTGTCTTTTGGTCAATGCTTATAATCACTCTGTCACAAAGACAGAGAGGGTTTAAGATTCCAACAGAGGGAAATGTTACAGTGAATAGATTTGTCAGGGAAGGCTTTGAGGAAGAGGAGGGTTTTTGATTGAATCTTAAAAGTAGATAGAATGGATTGCAAAAGAGAGAGGAGTTGGGGCCCTCCCTGGTGGCGCAGCAGGTTAAAGCGCAGCACTGAGAATCTAAAGCTGCTTCCGCATGAGTTCGATTCCAGCCTGCCCCGGAGGTGACCATATGGTGTGGCGACCTCTCCTGACCCGCCCGCTGCTCCCCTCAGCAGTGTACTTCATCAGTCTGCCTGTTCTGCTCCCCACTCTGTCTCTGGTGAAGCCTCTCACTGCCCCTGAGCCTCTGGCCTGTACTCCAGTTCTGTATGCACAAATAAATAAATCTTAAAAAAAAAAAAAAAAAAGAGAGAGAGAGAGAGAGAGAGAGAGGAGTTGACTCAGGCCTTTCTGATGGTACAGGGGTTAAGTCTCAGAGTTATCAAGTTATTGCCAGCCATTGCAGAATGAGTTCAATCCCCAGCCAGGGAGCTGACCCACATGGTGCAACAGACCTCTTTCTCACCTCCTACTCCCCTCAGCAGTACATTTCCATAAATCTGCCTCTTCTGTTCCCTATTGTGTCTCTGGTGAATCCTCTTATCCCCCACACCTCTGGCCTTGAACCCAATTCTTATAAATGCATAAATTAAAAAATATATAAAAAAAGAAGAGAGGGGTAGACTCTGTGAGGATTAGAATATATTTTGGAGATAGTGAATATGACAAGTTGACTGTGTCAAGATACAGAGGGTATGATCCTGTACCTCTCAGTTCATCAAGGCTGGCAAATAATAATGAAGAAATAGTTTTTGACACTTAATAGTAATAGTTTTTGATGTTTAATAGGACCATGTATACCTCTGTATACATGAAGAGATCCAGCATGGCTGAATAACTCATCTGTGTGACTTCAGACGCTGTCTTAAATAAGGGACTGTGGAAGGATGAGAAAGCGAAGGTCAGTTAGGGAGGTACAGGGACAGGCACAGTAGACAAAGGTATGCAGGTTAAGCAACCTCCACTTCAGCTTCAGAGCCCTTCTCAAGAAGTCAGATTCAAAAGACCTACTTTGTGGTGGCAGATTTTTATTCTCCTACAATTGGAGCTGAGATTTAGCAATGTGTGTAGAGTTTAAAAAGGTATTTTGAGGTATCATCTTAAGTGTCAGATAGTATAATCATCTTAAGAAGTGTCAGATAGTATAATCTCTGACATCCGTGTCAGGTAAGAGAGGGCTACATACTCATAAATAGTGTGACCCATGATATAATAAAAATATAAACAACAACAACAAAAAATAGAACAGAAGAGGTAGTAGTCAGCGAGCCTGGTGAAGATAATGGGTCAGGGAGGCACTGTCTCAGGATGTGTAAACAAGGGGGAATGCATCTCAGCAATCTAGAAAAGTATGTGCAAAGGAAGTCATGATAGTAATATACAGTGAGGAAACTACATGAGTTCCATGTTGTTGGTATGTGAAGTGAGAGTACAGGACTGGTAAGAGGATGGAGGCGGAGCCATATCCAGATCCTCACACGCCAAGTCACTGAGGACTAAAATGCTTACAGTTGATATGCTGTGGAGAGTGATGGTAGCATTTTCAACAGAGGAAGGGTGGTAGTTTGTGACCTAGGACCTATTGGCGGCAGTTTGAAGGATACATTTCAGGAGTACAAAGCAGGCAAGGAGACTAATTGGAAACAAGACAGGGAAGAATTAGGCCAGCCAGCTTTGGCTGTCAAATGTAGGGATTGATTTATTCAGCATTTATTGATTATCTACTCCCTGGCAGGCACTGTATTAAGCACTTTGAGTTATATTTTCTTATGTTTGTAGGTGGGTTTGTAGGTAGTTTTATAACTATTTCCCAAATAAGAAAGTTAAGTATCAGAGACATTAAGTAGTTTTGCCCAAGACCACACAAAAATAGCTTTTGCATATTACAGGATGAGTCTACTTTGGGTAAGGGTATTATGACCTAGTAACAGGCAGGAGAAGTCAAGGAGCAGATGGTAAAATTTTCTCCCATTTAGCATAGTTCATTCCAATCTGATTTGAATTTTTGAGCTCTGTATATAACTTTTCAGTCTTAACAAAAACAGCTTGCTCCTCTCTACAATTAAATTGCATTTCCCCCTTTTCATTTGTATGTTATTTGGCTTTAATACACAGTGGAGCCACAATTTACATGTTTGACTTCTAAAGCCATATTCCCTTGACTTTTTTTTTTTTAAAGATTTATTTATTTGTGTATACAGAACTGGGGTACAGGCCAAAGGCTCAGGGGCGGTGAGAGTCTTCACCAGAGACAGAGCGGGGAGCAGAACAGGCAGATTGATGAAGTACACTGCTGAGGGGAGCAGCGGGCGGGTCAGGAGAGGTCTGCCACGCCATGTGGTCACCTCCGGGGCAGGTGGGAATCGAACTCATGTGGAAGTGGCTTTAGCTTCTTAGTGCTGTGCTTTAACCCACTGCACCACCAGGGAGGGCCTCCCTTGACTTTTAAAGTGAGTTGTACTTCTTCACTTCTGGGGCCTTCATTTGAAGGCACTTCATTTGAAATTAAATGCAAACTGTAGACTGTCTTGCCAAAAAACAGCACACAGATGTCCACATACACACAATGTATTATACAAATTGCAGGGTGGGATTTTTGGGTGTCTTGGGTTCTGGGGTTCCCAAGTCCATACCAAATGTCAGGTATTGCTTTATTTAATTTTTATCACACTCCCTGTGAACTTTCTCTGTTAAGCCTTTTTAAATAACTGAGGGATTTAGACTAACTCTCAGACCCACAACCACACAGGAAGCACATACTACTATCAGGATTTGGACACAAATCTATCATTCTCTAGAAGTGCTTGACCACCTTGGTACTGCTTGTCACATATCACAAAAAGAGAAAAAAAAAGGAAAGCTAATTTAACTAATGATTAAAAACCTCTGATCTAGTAAGTAGGCTAAAAAAAGTTTAGGCTTTGACTTCTCAGACTGTATCAACAGAAGTTATTAATACAATTTAATATATCTGGTGAAAAAGAAGACTTTTTCAATTTTGTCATTTCCACCAGTTTTTATGGTATTGAAATGTACCAGAAAAAGAATGCATTTAAAAACTGGAAGCGAAATGAGAAATAGGAAATCACCTTAAGCAAAATGCATAGGCATACTTCAAGTTTATTGCTATGATTAATCCAGATGCTTTTATCTTGTGATTTTTTAGGATTTGGAATATCGTCTAGATCCAAAGACCAAGGAACTGCCTCACTTACGAAACCCTGACATACTTGTGGGTGAAAATGACCTCACAGCCCTCAGCTATCTTCATGAGCCTGCTGTGCTTCATAATCTCAGAGTTCGCTTTATTGATTCCAAACTTATTTATACATATTGTGGTAAGTGTACCTTGCTGTGAAAGTGGACTGTGAACTCTTTTCTCTGTGGAAATACTGAATAGGGGGAAAAAAGTTGTGTATATTTTCTCTTGGATACAAAAGTCCAAGAGTTATCCTACAGATTCTTCAGTGTAGTTAACTAATTTGTGTTTTCTATTGACTATTTTCTATTGTAAACTTGCATAAATTTGCTCAAAATAAAAGCAACTGGATTCATCTTTTGGATTCTACCCCCATCCCCCAGGACCCACATGCTAAATTCAATGCCAGTTTGCCATTTATTTTATTTTTACAAACACTACTACATGAAGAGGAGATGTTTAGCAACCTTTCTTTTGGGCAGATTCAAGAAGTTTAGTGTTTTCTTTTTCTTAATTACTTAAAAACACAGGACTGACTTGTAATTATTCTTTCTAGATCTGCTTGACTGGGCCTCTGCTCTTTGCTGTTATCTGTTAGAAGATAATAGCAAGCTGAGGATTCTTGTTCTCTTGCTGAGAAATGAAACATACATATGTGGGTGCATTTGGGTTCCTTTCCCCCTTTTTTCTCTCTTTGCCTGATTTCGTGTTACCCTTTATTTTCTCCATATTATCTGTCTTCTTTTCCCCTACTGAATTCTTCTCTTTCTTTCACTAATCACTCCCCCTTTTGAGATGCACGTCTGGTATTTCATTCATCATTCTAAGTTCATTTGTTCAGTGTTCCGGGCTGTACCCAACTTAGTGCTTATCTATCTTTATTACTCTCAATGGTTTGGACAGGAACAACTATCGTATTAAAATAATTTGTATCTTTTCTTTTTTAAAGATTTACTTAT